AAGGGCTCATCACCTACGATTTTGTAGGGTTTGGGGCTGCAGGCATTACAAAGAGAAGCCAGAAAGTCGGACCTTCTCCTCATGCCCCGAGGGTGTAGCACTGTAGCATTGGCAGTCCCAAAATTATATTCATCTTAACCCTAAACCCTAAACCCCTAAACCCCTAAACCCTAAACCCTAAACCCTAAACCCTAAACCATGTTCAGCTCTCTCGGGTTCACTGTAAAGCTCTAAACCCCATACCTCAAACCCTAAATCCCTAAACCCTAAACCCCTAGACCCTAAACCCTAAACCTTAAATCTAGACCCTAAACCCTAAATCCCTAGACCCTAAACCCTAAACCTTGAATCTAGACCCTAAACCCTAAACCCTAAACTGTAGGCAGTTTGAGGTCGAGGGCTCCATGTCCGACCCTGCTTTTCTTAGAGACCACAGTGGCAAAAGGTCACGGCTACATGCTTAAGGTTTATAGGGTTTAGGGTTTAGGGTTTGGGGCTTAGGGTCTAGGGTTTAGGGTTTAGGGTTAAGGGTTAAGGGTTAAGGGTTTAGGGTCTGGGCCTGGGTTTAGGGCTCACTATCGGTGTGGATCAGGGTTCGGGGTTCAGGCCGTCTCGCTGCAGAAACCTCAGGCGCGCTTGGCCTCGACGTTCTTGTGCTTTCGCGCCATGTTCATCAACCTCAGGATTCTTCCGTTTCAGGGCTTGGGGTTTAGGGTTCAGGGGCTTAGGGTTCAGGGTTTAGGGTTTAGGGCGACACCCGAAGCCCAATGACATCGCCGGAAGCAGTGGTTACAGCATCGGAACAGGTTGTCCATGGGTTTCCGTTTCAGGGTTTAGGATGCAGCCGTAGAGCTATGATGCAGAAAGGTACACGGTCCAGGGATTAGTAGATAGCTCACCCCGCAAACGATTGACGCACTACAGGTCCTCAGGCAAAGCGGTAGCCAACCTCGCGTAAAGCGGTTCGTTCAAGTGGTGATATCATCCCCTGGAATCTAGGCTCCCCAACAGCCCCTTGATGAGGTACGCATTTTGCCTACTATTCGGCTCTAACTAGGGAACCTAGGAGTACCGGAAACCCCGTATCATTACACATCTACCCAAAAATAGTTGTCCAACTCTTCCGGAAATGCCATAAAACGCTACAAAGCACCGTTAACCCCCAAGGCCCTATTCTAGACATGACGGCCGCTGTGTAAAGCCCAAATGGCTCATGTCCCTCTCTCTCGACCCTAAACCCTAAACCCTAAACCCTAAACCCTAAACCCTAAACCCTAAACCCTAAACCCTAAACCCTAACCCCAAACCCTAAACCCTAAAGGGCTCAGGGTTTAGGGGTTTAGGGTTCAGCTGGGCATCCAGGCAGGTCGTCGAATCGTCCGTCTGCCATAGCTGCGGCGGGTACTCAGACCCGGGGGAGGATCTGCAAAATAGAAGCCCTATCAAAGCCTTAGGGTTTAGCGTTTAGGGTTCAGGGGTTTAGGGTGTAGGGTTTAGGATCTAGGGCCTAGAAAAGCCTATCTTAAGCCATATGACAGGAGGATACCTTTTCGGATCCTGTAAGTAGTCTCTCTGGGTATCTTTCAGAAATCCGGAAGCCTTCCTACAACCATAAACACCTTAAGGTTTAGGGTTTAGGGTTTAGCGGGCAGGGTTCAATCAGGCTGTGATCGGGGTTAAGGTATCCTCTTTGGTACAAATATTTCAAGCAGCCAGGTAAACCCTAAACTCTAAACCCTGAAAGCCTAAAGCCGCGTGTCAGACGGGTATGCTCGAAGCATGAAAACCCTGGCCCTAATCCCCAGATTCGATCAAACTGCCGAGGCTTGGAGCAAGACATGGGAGCAAACACCCTAAACCCTAAACCCTAAACCGTTAGGGTTGACGGGGAAGGAGCAAACATGAGAGCTGCATCAAGGGGGGAGGTGGTTTTCCGACTGTTGGGGTTCGGGATGTATCAATTACCTAAACCTTCCAGTATCTCTTATTTGAGGAATGTACCTTAAAGTACAGGAGGGTCGCGAAGATGCTTAAAGTGTACTCCTTGATGAAGTGCGTTTGGCAGGTCTGGGTACCGAAACCCGGAAACGTAGACCCTCCAAAAGCTCAACGTTGGTCCCCAGTTCAGATTATGGTGGGATTTAGGGCTTATAGCGTTTATATAGGTAGTTGAACATGGATGTAAGATGATAAGTGCTAGGATTCCCTATAAGGCAACCTATTAAACTCGAATCACCATGTTACAAATATCTGGCTTCGACTTTACTTAAAGGACCAAGGAGGTTAGTAACTAGCCTTATACAGAACATGATTCCTTGAAACCTGACTTACGATCCTTAGAACCTTACTATAAGTTCCCTAAACCTTCAAGCCTGACCGAACCCCTATAGAAAGCCCATAGACGCCTCACGTACTCTGACAAGGATCCTCCCTGCGAGAGGTATAAGGGTTTAGGGCTTCGGAGATTGAGAGGCTAGGGTTCAGGGGGCTGGGCTTGCGGATTTGAGAGTTTAGGGTTTAGCCTTTAAGGCTTAGGGGTTTGAGGGTTTGAGGGTTTGAGGGATTGAGAGTTTGAGGGCTTGGGTTTAGTGTTAAAGGGTTTAGGGCTGGTGCGGACTTGCTTAGGGCACCCTAAACCTTAAAACCTAAACCCTAAACCTAAACTGTTTAGGACGGCTTGGGGTTTAGGCACCCAGCTAGAGCCACTATGCGGCCTCGGATTGCTCCTCCCTTGCTTTCGGTGTTGGAGGGAAGCGAAACGGCCTTAGGGGTTCGGGCTTAGGGGATTAAGGCTTTGAAGGGTTAGGGGTTTGAAGGGTATGAGAGATTTGCTTTAGGCTTTGGCGGGGCTAGGCTAGGCGCGTTATGTTACAATTATATGGAGACTAAACTGTTGTACGGTGGAACATAGTTAGGCTTGTTCCAACCAGTGTAATGGCATGCAGTAGCAAGGGTCCTCTGCAGCAAACAAATGAAAATAAAACACACGTGTAACTGCGCAACATGGAAAGATGCACAAAGTTCGACAAGTTCGTGCACTTGTTTTGCCCTCAACCACTGCCATTCTGCAGCTGGGCCTCGCACGCAAGCACAGGAATAATCTCTGAGAGACCGCTTAAGGCTTAAGCGTTGGTAAGGTACGAATCAGAACATCCCGTGTCAGGCTGATTGTACTCAAGCTAAGCAGAAGCTGGGCCCCCGGCCAAATGCCATCTCGATGGGCTATCAACGCCAAGGCGGAGTTCTTGCTTGTGAAGTTTTGGTAGGAATAACCGTTGTGACATGGTCAGTGGTGTGACGCCCACAGCCGTAACACAATCGTAAAGACGTTCCTCTGCATTCGCTGCCACCATGGAGGTGCATTCATCCAGCAGCGCGAAATCAGGCTGATGGAAGAGCGCTCTGCTAAGGGCAATCCGCTGCTGCTCTCCTCCCGACAGTACGTCTTCCCACCTGCAAACAGCCGCCCAACCATGTTCTTGACGATCCAGCAGATGACCTAATCCTACGGATTTCAATGCCTGCTCAGCCTTCCCCATGTCTTCTGCGAAAACAAAGCGCTTCGGGTAGGTGACCTGATCACCCAAACAACCAGGCGCCAAATATGGTCTTTGTGGGACAATGGACATCGAACGCGGAACTGAAACTTGCGCATCTCGTCCAGATGTCTTCCAGAGGCCCAGCAGCACGCGTGCCAAAGCTGTCTTGCCAGCCTCGGAGCACGGAACAGGGTCCGCAGGAGCAAAGCATGGACACATTAGCACACATTACTCAGCTTCCGAACTTTGTTCGAACTCTTGCGATCATTGATCATATGACAGGGGTTTATGACACGACAAAAAAACTGGCACGGTTGTACTGAAAGCCTAGAAAGAACAGCATGAAAGCATGAGGCCTTCGATGATGTTTGTGCTTCTGTCGAAAGTACTTGTGAACGGTCCGGACGCAGGACTTGGTCGTGTCAAGCAGGCTTGATCAACGCCCTATATTATAGTCGCTCGGGGCGGGCGGTCTCGGCCAACGTGCGCACGTGGCAAAGCACATGGAACTATCTGGCACATGGGCCCACAAAACTTAAGAATTGTTCTTTGCATGCAAGGAAGTTGCAGATTTGGATAATTTTTCGTCGGTTCCGAGAGAAACCGCTGGCTGAAAGAAATGATGCGACGCACGACATGCTGCCTGTCGTGTGAAACTGTTGCCGAACAAACGCGGCGTGCGTGGTCATGTATGTGCGGTTGGACTTCAGCGCAGCGGGCGTTGGGCTCTAGCTGGCCCAGATGCGCCAGGATAACATAGCAAAACCCAATCAAAGGCGTCGTTACGATCAAAGGCACGAGGGGAACTACAAGACTGTAGACATCACTACATAAGCTACAACTAGATCGCACGAACTCGTTGGCGGTTGAGCCGAACGGAATTGCTTAAGCGTACGACGTACATACGTTGTAATTGCAGGTAGTAGTAGTAGTAGTAGT